TTCTTTTCACTTGCTTCTGCCTCTTAATTGGCTTGCCCTTGTACTTGTCGTTTTCCCACCTCTGGAACTTGTGCCTGCGGTGTCTGCCGTGCCGGATCCTGCAAAAGATTTGAAAAGATTTTCATTTTTTATTACGATCATAGTAGGGTTTGATTTGATCAATGTTTGCGGAACAGGTTTTCACCATTTCTGCCTTTAACACTACTACAGCGTGAGTTATTTTTTCTATGACATATGGTCCTTCAAATCGTGGAAAAAATTTGGCAGTTTTATCTTCTGGTGCTGAAGAAAGTGAATGCTTAATTTTAAAAACTTCATTCCCTACTTTATAAGTTACTCCCCGTCGTTTCAAGTCATAATATAAATTTTTGTTTTCTCTGTGCTACTTCAGTATTCTTTTTTGCTTCTTTAATTAGTTTTTCTATATCACCCATTTTAAATTCTGGGGCTCTTTGTTGCACATAAAATAATTTATCTAACGGCGTTATAATCTTTCTGCCTAAAAATAACTCAGCAGGAGTTTTGCCCGTTGTATCATGTTTTGCGGTCCTAAGGGCGAAAGCAAATTCATTGACATAGTTATCCCAGCTTTTATGAAAATTTTTAACATAACTACGGATAATTTTCACTATATTTCTATTGACCCGTTCCGCTATATTTGATTGCGGCCGATACGGGACCATTTTTAAATGACGTATGCCCAGTTTTTGGCACATGTCTTCAAATATATTACTTACAAATTGAGGACCATTATCCGATATAACTTTTAGGGGCGCCCCGTATTTTAAAATATATTTATTTAAAATAGAATCAGTAACTAATTTCGCGGAGGCTCGTTTTAAGGGAACAATTTCGGTCCATTTACTAAAATGATCAAACATAACAAGGAGATAGCGACTTTTATTTAACTGACTTTTTGGGAAAGGGCCCAATAAATCGATGCCAATTATTTCATTTGGAAATTCGGATTTAATACTATTTAGAAACCCGGCCGGGCGGAAATTAATATAATTGACATGTTGGGCAGGACTGGACATACGCCCTTGTTAACTTTTGCAGTTCAGGAAAATAGACTGCCTCGCGTACGCGTTGGATAGTTTTTCGAATACCAGCATGAGAAGCTAAAGGGCTGTCATGGAGCTCCTTGCAGGATATTTAATCTAAGACTAGCTGGGATAACAGGTCGAAATTCGTTGTTGGAATTCGTAGTTTTTGTATAGAATAATAGACCATCTATTAGTTCGTAATGGGCCGCCCTATTTCTTATCGCCACAATATCTTGGTGGCTAAAATTTTCAGGATCCTTCAAATACTCATAAATACTTCCAAACTCAGGATCCTTACCCAGTTCGGTTATTACAGTTTCTCGGGAATTTATTGTACATGCTGTCAGCATTGCCACCTTTACGGTATTACCTTCTTCATCTATTTTAATTCTGGATAGGGCATCTGCTACGATATTTTCCTTTCCGGGGGTATGCTTGATTACCAGATTATATTCTTGTGCAGCTTGAGTGCCCATCTTATTAACCTTGGGGATAATTTTTTCCCTGAGTACAATCTAGTTACCGCCGCATGATCAGAAGTACACTGTTATTGGCGCCTTTCCAAAATAGACTCGGAACTTTTGCACTGCTAACAGAACTGCAAGTGCCTCTCTCTCGGTCGCGGAATAGTTTCTTTGTGTTTGATTTAAAGTTCGGCTAAAAAAATGCCACGGGCTGCTGATTTTGCGAAAGTACCGCTCCTACCGCATAATCCGAAGCATCCGCTGAAATTTCTAAATTCTCATCCTTTTCAGGAAATTTCAACACAGGGGCTTGCGTTAATGCTTGTTTTAATTTTTCGAAAGCACTATTGGCTTCGGCCGTCCACGAGAATCTTGCCTTTTTCCTTTTTAATTTTTAACAATGGTTCAGCGATAGCTGCAAAATCTTTTATAAAGGACCTATAATATGAACAAAGTCCTAGAAAAGAAGAGAGCTTCTTTCGCCGTTTTGGAGTCGGATACTTTTGTACAGCGATTATTTTTGATTCGTCTGTCTCGATTCCTTTTCTGAGATATTTGTAACCTAAAATATTTAATTCAGGGGCTGCAAATTTGCACTTTTCGACATTAACTTTTAGACCGGCCTCATTTAATAAAGAAAACACCTGTCTTAAATCCTGTACATGTTGGTCCGAGATTATCACTAGTAATAATGATATCGTCTAAATAGATAAATGTGGACTTTCCAAGAACAGGTCTTAACACAATGTCCATACATCGCTGAAATGTTGCCGGCGCCCCTGAAAGGCCAAACGGCATACGCAAAATGCATAAGTGCCAGACTTGGTTATAAAAGCAGTCTTAGGCACGTCCTCAGGCCTTACCCCTATTTGAAAATAACCAGATCGTTAAGTCTAAGTCGTCATATAATTTGGTAGATGTTATGTTCCTTAAAATTTCTTCAATAATAGGTAACGGATATACCGGATATTTAGTTATGGAGTTTAATTTACGGTAAGTCAATTGCGAAATCTGCCACCTTTTTGGATGTGTCAAAGGATAATCATTATTTTTCTTACATAAAACCACCGGGCAATGGCATAACTACTTGAGATGGGCGTTATGATCTTTTTTTACGTAGCATATCGGTAATATGCCATTCTATAATTTTTTTCCTTATTCTTATCATAACCGGTATGGCCTTTGTGGCGAACTGGCAATGAAATCTCCGGTGTCAATACTATGGTTAGTAACCTGAGTAAATCCTGGAATATCACTAAATAACGAAGCAAATTCACTTACCACTTGTCGGAGTTTCTTCTTGCTCGTCATTAGGCAGGTGGTCAAGATTTAACATGTGGGGCGGTTCAGCCTTTTCTTCCACGCACTGGTTTCATCGTCAGCTTAAGGGACGCTTCATTAAAATCCAGCGTTGCTTGTGCCTCTGAAAGAAAATCTATTCCTAAAATAATATGTGCTTGCAAGATTCTTTACTATAAAAAACATCACCTTTACTTGTTCGTCCTTGATACGGACATACAAGCGGTAATTTACCTATACGCACTTACATTTTTCTCCTTGCGCCGCTAACACTGTCGTATTATCCGAATTATATATGCGGTATTTCCGAAAATACTTTCTAAAAAAATCTTCTGCCACACAGGAACACTGCGCGCCTGTATCCAGGAGTGCGGTGGCTGGGATATTATTCACCAACACTTCAATCTTCGGAAGAGTCAAATTTTTCACCATTACTGTATTTAACTTGAAGGAAGAGGGGTTTTCGTGGCCTTCGGATTTCCGCACCCTCTCGTCAGCAGAAATCCGTTTTTAGTTTAAATTATTTTTCATTTCCGTGCTTTCCTTCTTTTTTCCACTGGCCTTGAGACTTTTTTCCTGGATTGCTATTGAACTGTCGACGTTCGCCGGCTGTTTTTGAATGCTCGGGTTTCCTTGCCCACTGATTCGCTTTGCTTCCGTAGCCGTGTGCTTGAGTTTGCTGTAGTCTTGGCGCACCAAATTGGTTTCGCTGTTGATATTGGCGTCTTCTTTCGACGTCCGCCGTTCTTCTACTTTCAAACTGGATTGCTAGCTCAAATAACTTTTCCAGTGTAGTCGGATTTCTTAATTCAATAAAGTCTTGCACTTGGGGCAGTAACCTCGGCAAAATCACTTGAATTATTTCAGGATCCGGACGGTTTCCATACAAGAGTTTGAAGACGTGAATTTTTCTTAAAATAAAGCTTGAGAGGTTTTCGATTCTTTGTTGATATATACTGAAAAGTTCCGTTTCTAATTTCGCACGATCCCTTACAACAGGGAAGGCTTTTAGTAGGGCAGTCTTGAAATTCTCGTAAGTATAGGTGGGACTTCCTGCTTGACCCAAGAGACTTCTGCCTATACATTTGAACCAGTTAAGCGCTTGGCCCCTCAAAGCGCTGGTAGCTAAGGTAACTTTTTGAAACTCGTGCACGGGGTAGAGCATGAAGTGGTCATCCAATTTTTCCAAAAAACTGGTTACCGGTGAGTTTCCATTAAATGTTGCTTCTGGTTTCATCGAAGCGCGCATGGTCTGGACGATGTAACCAAATCCTTCCAGGGCGGCAGCTGGCATTTCTGGATTCTGAGCCGTTTCTGCAGGCAGCACAGGTTCTTCTTGAAACTCGGCCATGGTTATTCTTCTTCGTTGGGCGCCACTATCAGGTTCAATGTTCCTTCTTACCTTTCTTCGGGAACATACAAGGACCTGACTCGGAACAGAGAGCTTACTAAAGCTATGTTCACTAATGTGGTAAGTAGACAGGATACACAAGAAGGGTATACAAAACCCTTTTTTTTCTCTATTTACAATAACTTCCGTACTTCGGAATACACAGACCCACCTACTTGTGGTCTAACGTAAAAATATAAAAATAAAAAACTAAACTCTAATTTAACTTTAAAATAATAAACGTGGAAGATTGGCCTTATAATTAACAGGAAGCCGTATGTAGTACAGAGAACTGTGAACACTACAATACGTTTAAAATTATCAAGAGGATTAAAACCTCTGGCCTGGAAGGCAACAGCAACTGCGTAAAACTTCTAAGGTAAGCGGCCTGCTTCGACTAACTGCTTCCTCTCTCTCGCTTGGCAAAAGGCCACACTTAAATACTTGGCGTTCGCCAGACAACTTTGCATAAAAAAATCCTAAATCATTAACGCTTATAATTCTGGCCGGAAGTAGAAAATAAGAAGTGATGGTAAAGATTTAAAATAAAATAAACGTTAGTAAAACTTAAGATCCTTACAATATCTTTCAAGTGTCGTTTTATATTGCAATTTCCTATTCGAGATTCAATATTGTGTTCTTTCTCTAAGGAATATAATATTGTCGTCATTATTTTTAGAATTGTTAGCTGATTTTCCTTTCCAAGATAAGACTGTTTACTAACTTCTGTTTCACAATATGAATTACTGTCTACAATATTTTCTGCCTCTAATGTTTAATATTAATTCTTCTATTTCACAGAAACCCTTCACCTACTTTTACAAATTTATATATTTGAAAAAAACCAAAGCTGAAGGTAACAATTTGGCAATTTAGCAACTGAATCCAAAAAGAAAGCTTAGATGAAGCTGAATGTGGATCCACGATTCATATCAAGGTTACTATCCAGAG